TATCTTTTAGAAAAAATGTTGAAAATCACACAGGGTAAAACGGCAATATCTAGTGGTCACTATTCTAAAAGTTATATGGTAATTAAATATCATTTATTTTTAAACATAAAACTTTTGATTTTGTTTTTTTTATTGCCCTAGTGGATAGATGTGCGCACGGCTCACCTGGTGGTGGGTGGTTACCGTCGCCCATGGTCTTCAGCAAGCTCAGGGGTAGAGCCAAGCGGTTGTCTACCGTAAAGTAACTCCGGTATAGCCGAGAGCGGTAGGCATGGCTACCACCCGAAACACCAAAGAACGAGGTTCAGGCAAACGAAAGGAAAGTCAGTTTATCTTCAATCTACTCATGGATTTAACCAGCAAACAATAAGAAATCGGGAGACTACGAGCCTTGACCTGATGCCTGAAAAAATATTGGAAAGAGACGCAGTCCACTTGCTGTCATTTTTTAACATAGACTGAGATGTCAATAAGGAGCTGCCAAGCTATAATAATATATGCACCTGAAAATACATGAAATTGTGATGCGGGACGCCAAGCATATCTTTCTAGGTTCCCGGATAGTAATACGATGGAAGATTTGTGATTTAGAGTGCTTTAGAGAGGTACCACTTGAAGGCATTACTCTCTGGGCGCAATATCAGGTCAGACTAACCGCACAAGGCCGCACTGATGCCGAAACAAGATATCATCATCATCATCATCATCATCATTTCAGCCTATCGCCGTCCACTGCTGAACATAGGCCTCTCCAATAGATTAAATTACAAGATATAAAATTATTAATTCATAGCTTTGTCAATAAATTAAATTAAATACACATTAAAAAATATTTTTGTTTTATTGCACATACTGTCTTATCATAAACATTGAAGTATTCTATAATCAGACTTTGTTGCTTTTAAGGAAGTGATAATTTGAATTTTAATTAAATTATGGTAATCTTATAAATTCTTGTAAGCAGGGTGTTTTGTGAGTCTCTAAGCTGGTTGCGGGGTAATCACGATTGCAACATAATTATGTTTTCACAGAAAGCCGCGTGGTCATATTAACCAGGACTCTGGGATTCACTTTATAGGGGGCGACCTTGAATATCAAAATTGTTCACATCCATAAAAAGTCAATTCGAAGATATTGGTTTGCACAAATTAATCTACTGTATTTCGGTTATTAATTATTATCAAGCATCTTGTTTGCGGATAGCAAAATCATAAAATCACTTAAATTGCTTAAAAGTTGATATAAAATGAGGCAGATCGACAAAAAAACAGAACAAAAAGAAAACACTTTAATTGTGACATATTCGTATTCATGGCTTGCAAAAAACTTTGTATGACAATAAAAAACAACATAGAAAGGCAAAAGCTCAAACAATGAAGTTTGACAACAATATCCTTGAAAGTTTAAAGGACAAAAGCTCGAATCCAATGTTTCGTTCTGGCGTTTTTTGGGAACTTTTTAAAGCGCTGCAAAATGAAAAGAACGAATAGTTCATCCAACGGGAATGTATTGTTCGAAGCGGATTGCAAAATATGAAAACGACTTTTCAAAGGCCTATCCTTTCATGTTGGAAAATCCTTTATTCTCTACACGTTAAATATAATCATAAAATTAATTTGTTTTTCGATGACTTCATTCAATATGTATGTATATTAAGCGAACAGATAAAAAAAACTGCGATTCCGCGGCTTTTCTAAAGGTGAGGGTAAAATTTGAACGCTCAGGATGTTGAAGACACTGCAGACGTAAGTTTTTCCGTCACAACTCAAGAAATCGGCAACTACGTAGACAAAAATCTTCCACCGGATAATACTGTACAAAATAATGTTCGCAACTTCTATTTTTTTTATTGCTTAAATGGGGGAACAGCTCACAGCTCACCTGGTGTTAACTGGTTACTGGAGCCCATAGACATCTACAGCGTAAATGCGCCACCCTCCTTGAGATATAAGTTCTAAGGCCTCAAGTATAGTTACAACGGCTGCCCCACCCTTCAAGCCGAAACGCATTACTGTTTCAAGGCAAAAAAGGCTGTGTGGTGGTACCTACCCGGGCGGACTCACAATAGGTTCTACCAACAGTAAAAATTAAAATGATCTTGAAAATGTCCTACAGGATTAAAATGCAATATCGCTAGCTACCTTGACACATGAGATCAAAGCCTCAATTGCGTTATTTTACAGGAGTTTCAGTCTTAAAACCGGAAAAAGTGATTACCACGCTGATGTGTATCTTAGATAGCATAGTTAATTTTTTTAAATTGAAATTGTTCCCGTGTTCAATAACGGAGTCGATAGTTCTTTCGAAGCTCTGTATAATATAAAATTTGCGTGGTACTAGCGGATCACGGCTCAATAATTAAAACGAGATTAGTTAATTAATGACGAGAAAAAATAATTAATTAATTGAGAAAAACAATTTAAACCATCTCGTATTCCATACTATTAAAAAACTTCTTGAGTTAAGATTAATTATTTTATTAAAAATGTTTTGAGTTAAGATTAATTATTTTACTTTGAGTCAAAGAAACGTTTGATATGAAGCAAAAATCTGCATTTTTTTCATAATCTTAACGTAGTGAGAAGAACAAAGATTTTTTAATTAGTTCTGGGTCTTCTTGTAGTTAACGAGGCTCATAGAAATCTCAACTTGAAGTATTTTTAGTAATGAACAAGGGCCGTGTTTCCATTCTTCGAATCAGGACGGATGACTATTTGTGACAGAAACGGGCAAGGTTATTGGTAATTAACTACCTGTACTGGCATCCAACAGTCTCTCATCATCATCAGCCTACGGCAGTCCATTGCTGGACATGGGCCTCCCCCAAAGCTCGCCACGGAACCCGATCTTCGGCTGCCTTGCGCAGGTCTTATGGTATGGTACTGGTGATAGGACCTCTTGTGAGTCCGCGCGGGTGGGTACCACCACCCTGCCTATTTCTGCCGTGAAGCAGTAATGCGTTTCGGTTTGAAGGGTGGGGCAGCCGTTGTAACTATACTTGAGACCTTAGAACTTATATCTCAAGATGGGTGGCGCATTTACGTTGTAGATGTCTATGGGCTCTAGTAACCACATAACACCAGGTGGGCTGTGAGCTCGTCCGCCCATCTAAGCAATAAATAAATAAATAAAAAATCTTTTTACGAAACCCACGGAAAAAGTACTGATATATAATCTAGTAGCACAAATAAAACAACAAAGAATTTCAATGCAATGCCACATTCCACGTCTGATTTGTTTTCCATACGAATGTCATTTGATTATTGCGAATATTTGAAGACGAAAAATAGCCTAGAGGAGCTAGGAATTTCCTATTCGCACGATAAGAAACTAGCAGCAAAAAATATAGATTTTTAAGCAGTCAATGCACAGCTGTCTACAATTGTTCTTATGCAACTTTCTATTGAATAATTTTCCGGTTTACCACCAAATTCTATAAAGGCAAAATATGGCTAAAAGTAATAAAACTTTATATCTTTACAAAAAATCTCGGGGCACGATAAATATTAAAATAAAATACAGACTGATCCATTTATGTTCTAAGAAGCGCGCTACGAGTTCTGATTTCGGTTCGGGCCAAGTTTTTCGAGCAAAACCAACAACTAAAACGTAAACTTCGTACTAGTGCAGTTCGAAACATTTCATAACAACGTGTCTCGTTAAACTAATGTGGTCTCAGTAACTGCGCGTCCGGTTTTAGCACAAGCGGTTAGTTAGCCAGAGCCGGGTAAATAAATTTTAACTTAGTTTCGGAAGTTTGTCTCGCATCCTGCCCTCGCTCTTTCAACTGAGTCCCAAACTTATAATCAATAATCCAATTTGAATACTGGTCATAATTGAGTGCTTTTAGTTCTAGTTGAAAATTTATTAACGAGTAGCTGTACCCGTCCGCTTCGCTGGGCATTTAATAGTACACTGTGGCGAGGGTGGCAAGCACGCGGGATGGGATGTCCTACTTTTCGCGCGGTGCACATACAATTTTTTCTCCTACCAGGCCGAAAGTTCGTGGAGTACCGAGCCGGGGTTCAGGGGCGAAGCTCTGGCGGGTTTGAGGGGGCGGAGCCCCCCATACTCTTAAAAAAACAATTTAACTGTTTTTTAATTTCTAAATAAACTACTACTTGAATAAGAACTGTCTGATGAACTCATTTTTGTTTAATACTTCACTATTAAATTTTATTGCCTTATGTTTATTTAACTTTTACACTAAACACAATATTGCAAATTACCCGAGCACAACAATGGCGGAGAATTTTAGGTGCGTGTGAGCAGACGTAGACACTAACGCGCATGCGCACTTGTCAGTACTCAGGGAGGAAAAGTTACACTTTTTTCCCTGTACAGCGGGAGGAGAATCGAACTTTCGGCGTAGGTAGGAAAAAAAATTAACATTATTATTTCTCACCCCACAAAGATTTTCATAATTAACACCCCCGCAACTGGTGTAGGGAGTCCAACACTCATATAAATATTAGCCTATCCATTAAGTACATGTATTTTCTACATGGATACTAAGTTTCAAGTCAATCGGATACATGGTTCAGTAGTTATAACGGAACTTCCGTAAAAACAACTGTAGATTTATATATTAGTATATAGATTCGAGTTCCAAAACAGTTCAGAATTCGAATTTAAATTGATAAACATCTAGGACAAGTAAGCTCTACCTGACTTACTTTTCTAGCGTGTACTCTAGCAGTGCTATGGCTTAATCTACTGTTTTAGGTCCGAGAGCATTACATCCTACAAAGTATTTTATGTGGGCAATCAAAAAACATTTATTTTCGTGTTGAAGGCGAATCAAAGACTGGATTGTATAACACTTACCCCACCCTTCAAACCGCTGTTAAGCTTCAGAAATACTTGCGATAGTGCTGTCTTCATATTGGACACTAGTGACAGTTAAAAACAATTATGTTTCACATTAATTAACCTTGACATCCGTTTAAATAGTTTCTCAGTCGATTTTAATATTAAACGCCTTTACGTTTCTTTGGCAGGCGAAGGTTGAAGTATTTGGTGTGTGCAGTCGTGAGGATCTGCGGTGGTTGGTGTCTCAACCAAAGAATAAGACTCTGTGTTTTCGTGATGGCGCTGATGTGTGCTTTCTTCACCATACTAGTCCTCGCCTCGGCAAGCTGTGAGTATCTATAGTACTAGCTGTACCCGTCCGCTTCGCTGGGCATTTAAAATTAACATTATTATTTCTCACCCCCACAAAGTTTCTCATCATTAAAGCCCTCGCAACTGGTGTAAGGAGTCCTACACTCATATAAATATTAGCCTATCCATTAAGTACATGTATTTTCTACATGGATACCAAGTTTCAAGTCAATCAAATGCATGGTTCAGTAGTTATAACGGAACATCCGTAAAAACCACTGTAGATTTATATATTAGTATAGATAATTTCATAGTAATATTCAAATATTATATGTTCACGATGTGGCCCATTGAGGTATTTTTCAATAAGTAATTAATTAATTACAAAGCATTCCGTAAACTGAAAAATCTTAATATAAAGCGAGAATATAGTATTCACTTCCTCCTCCTCGCGTCGTTTTCCTCATTACTGAGGGTCGTGACTCTCCCGCTGCATCAGTTTCTTCCGTACGATTTCCCTCCATCTTCTACGATCCTTAGCTTTAGTATTCACTTTATAAACGAAATATATTATATTATATTGTTTAGAAAGTAAAGTAATTAAACCGCCGTAAAACCGAATTTGCTGATATGGCATTGTAATACAGGGTGTGGTTTTTTCGATATTAGATCCTGCTATTACATTGGTTAATGATCGATCTCATGCGCCACCCAGTGTTAAGTGGTAACCGGGGACCATAGACATCGCAACTAGAATGCCGCCTTCCAATTCAAATATGGGCGAATGTTTCAATGCTTTATGTAAATCGTTATAGATATAGTTGTAGAGTTAGATTACAGATTAGACACATAAAAAAATATTTTTACATGTTTTTTTTTTCAAAACTACACTATGTATAATATTTTTAAATAGAGTACGTACCTGCAAATGTTACTTAATTTAAAAAGGTTTTTCAAAAATATACAAGAACACGAATAGGTATTAATACGGACGAGTTATTTAAATTATTAAGCAAATATACCACGACATCTAAAAATATGCTGAAACTAAATATAAGAGAGACAATAATGTATGGTCTCATAATAACAAGATTATACACGACTAGCTGTACCCGTCCGCTTCGCTGGACATTTAAAATTAACATTATTATTTCTCACCCCCACAAAGATTCTCATTATTAACGCCCCCGCAACTGGTGTAGGGGGTCCAACACTCATATAAGTATTACCCTATCCATTACGTACATGTATTTTCTACATGGATACCAAGTTTCAAGTTAATCGGATGCATGGTTCAGTAGTTATAACGGAACATCCGTAAAAACCACTGTAGATTTATATATTAGTATAGATTGTATTTGTTATTATTTTTGTTCATAGACGACAAAGGTGGTAAACAAACCTTCAAATCTATCTCCTTAACAAACAAGGGTGCGTGTACTTATGTACGCGCATAAGAAGTTATACTTTATTAAATTAATTTAAATAATTAAATTTATTTCTTTTTATTTATTTAAATTTTAATCAATTGGAAAAAAATCGATTAAACAACATCCTCAAACACGCATAATGTCCCTTTTCATGACATCGTATAAATTCGGTAATTATCGGTACGGTTCGGAAAGTTCACCTGCGCCTATATTCAGACTCGCCAAGCTACGTCGGTCGTATTGTAATGAGCGATTTAGTGGGCAACTTCATTCTGTTAATTTTGTGTCACGGTGCGCGCGCATCGTAAAATTTCACTCTCATCAATTTTTCATAACGCGCCTAAGGAAGTGTAACATCAAAAACAACATATTTTGATAAACATGCATTGTTGTTTGTAAACAATACATTTTTTGTACAAAATTACTGAGCGGTTAACTTCAATGGTCAGCGGTCTAAATGAGGGGCGAGCAACAATTATTTTGTACGTAACGAAATAAAGTTCTCCGCTCGGGTTCACTTCACTGACACATTTCCATTGAGATTTTTCACTAAGCTCCACTTGTTGGAAGCTCGAGAACTTTCCACGTGTTTTGACAAAGTTTATTCATGTTTATATTTGGATTACGAATTACTCATACGGGAAGACCGCCCTGTTTCACAATTCCCCGCATCCTCTAAATAAGGGTATTGTTTTACTATTTAATTTTACTATTGCTTTTTACTTACAAACAAATGCTCTGAAATTTGCAATGCAATTATCGTGCATTGTTAATCTATACGTTTGATAATTAGGGCTATTTAGCATATAAGTTGAGGTAACGATATTTTAGAAATCGTAGGCTAACACGAAGTTTCCCGCGGGAGTTGCTGGACTTCTACCGGGCGCGTCCGTAGGTGGCGGATAACGGGCCTCTGGGCTCTATTCCCAGGGGTATCGTCCGGTCTCTCTCGTTCTGTTACAACGAGAGAGACCGAACGACGTGGACCAAAACCAGCTCCGGGGGTCCAAGCTCTCCTCCCCCTTCACTTGTTGAAGGGTGGTCCTCCTGGAGATGCGTGGGCCTCCACCTTTTATTCTTTTCCTTTTGATTATTTCGTTAATTTATTTACTGTCTTTTTGTTATCTTCATTTGTTTTATTTATATTTTGATTTGTAATCTGTAACTTTCTTCGTTTTACTGTTTGGTTTATCATTTTGTGTTATTCTCTATCCTGTCTTTCTTCGCCTTTGGTTTTTATTTTTGGTTTTATTTGTTTTATTTTCTTCTTCTTTTCATTTCAATCCTAATCCTAAGCTTTGACACCCGGTGAGAGGATGCATGGCCGGTGGGCGACCGGTCGCTAGGGTGTCCCAGGGGACCGCACCCCGGGCAAAAAAACAAAGGGAAACCAATGAAGATGTCCAGTTTGCAAAGAGTAATACCCCAGGAGGGTACCCGCCAAGCGGGAGAATCCCTCCGTACTACCGACTCGTCGGTAGTGCGCAGCCCCTCGTATTCTGGGGGGGGCACAAACTGCACTGAGATAAGGTCCGGGAAGGACGGCGTCAAAAAAGGAGCAGGGTCCTTGAAGGACATAAGTAGGAAGAACGAGTCCGCGAAGGACGTAGTAGCTATAGGGTCCGTTAAGGACAGTGAAGGGAGATCGTCCGGAACCGCTCTCGTGTCGGACGATAGCATGGCCACAGCTGGGTCGGCCCATTCGTCGGCCCGCTCTTCGCCGACACGCAGACAGCGAAAAAGAGTACTGACGATCAGTAGTGACGAGCTTGGAAGCAGTTCCGGCTCTGACGGAGCAGCCTCTACTGGCAAAGGTGGTGTCATGCCGCAATCAAAGAGAGGGCGTGGTCGTCTGCCGACCAC